GTACTGTATAATGTACTGGCCCAAAAAAACAAAATTATTTTGACTATTCAATAACTTTCCCTTTATTTAAGCCATGCCGAATATTACTCCTTAGAAAGCTAATCTGTGTTAAAACACAACCATTTTTTAAAGTTTACTACACTTCAGCAGTTACTGCAACTATGTTATTATAAACATTCATACATATACTCATAATATAAGCATAACGATCATAATAAACACGAATATGAACTGACCAAATGGAACGAGAATGCAAATTATTAAGATCTTGATAGAAATTCATATGTGTGTAGTATTTGGGTGGGAGGAAAAGAATGCCGAATGTACCGGAACTCTCTACTGCTTTAAAAATTCTTTGACCAATAGAATGGCGGGCAGCTTTCTGTATTCTTCGTGTACACCAAAGGTTATGCCGGAACTTTCTACTGCTTTAAAAATTCTTTGACCAATAGAATGGCGGGCAGCTTTCTGTATTCTTCGTGTACACCAAAGGTTATGTAAATGCAGAGAAAGGGGAAAAGCTATTTCCGGGAGTATGATTCACCATCTGACATTCTACATTAGGAAGAAAAGTGGTTTATTTAGTTTCGGCTTTGATACGGAAGAAAATAGTGCGTTCATTTAAAAAAAAAAGCACTAAAAGCAAAAAATAAGCGCTAAAACAAAAAAATAAGGGCTTTAAAGAAAAAGTAAGCACCTATAAGGGCCTTTATATTTTATTTTCAAATATAAGGACTTATAAGGACCGCTACGAACCCTGTCCAACTTTTTGAGAGATTGGGAATTTTTCCAAACAGGTGACAATTTAAAAGGTGACAGGCACACCTCGTAATTTGCAAATATGAGTTTCTTTCTTTAAGATGCCTGCAACATGTCTTCAATCCAATCCTTCCTAGAGAGCATTGTCAGCACCATGTGTTAATCAATTAATCAGCTGCTATTAAATAAAGCATTTCATATCTTTTTCTTAAGAACAGAAAGCAGACTGCACTGGATTTAAAAAAAGGAATCAACTGGATAGTTTTGTGTATGTATTAAAGCTTCCATAAACAGAGAGGCAGAACGGAACTGTTTTAGTGTAAACAAAGAGTAAAGATTTATTGTTTATTCCAATTTCTTCTACAATTGTGGCTGTTTCGGCCCTTGTACTTGAATATTTCTTAGCAATTTCACAGTAAAAAAAAAACCATTTTTCTAAATAAAACTGCAGCATGATCCGATGCATTCAGCGGTAGGTTGCGCTCAAGTAAAAAGGCAGCAAGCCGGCATTTTGCATTAATAACTTTTTGGTCCTTTGTTTCCACAGAAAAATTCAATATTTATCCACTACAACTCATGTTAATCTTGTGTATGCACATATTTAAGACCATCAGCCCTTCCACTGTGTGAAATCAAAAAATCGCAATGACAAATGCTACATATCAAAAATGTATTAAATTTCCTTCACAAAATAATAAAAGGAAAATCATCTGTGTATAATTTTTGAAAAGTACATGAGTATTTACCTTCCTCTGCATGCATAACTAAGACAAAAGATAGCAATTTCTTAAACTGTTTCTACTAACAGTGCTCACTGGCAAACAAGCAAAATAACAACCTTATTTACCTTCCTCTGCATGCATAACTAAGACAAAAGATAGCAATTTCTTAAACTGTTTCTACTAACAGTGCTCATTGCCAAGACAAGCAAAATAACAACCTATCTTTCTTTGTGCTCATTGTCTAAGCTATACCAGATGACATGCAGCGATGCTTCATGCTCATCGGGGAGGCAGAACACCGACGTTCTCGGACTGTCACACATAAAACAGAAGAGCACCATATCTCAATGATGAAATGACTTTTCTTTTATAGATAATCTTGAAAGAAAAAAAAAAAGTGTTTCCAGATGCCAAAAATCAATTTTTGGGGTGTAAATAATGAAGCCAAGCTACTTTAAATTTGTGAAATATTTTAAGAATAAAAGAAAGTTGGAAGAAATATAGTGTAAATCAGGTTGGTGGGAGTATGGTCGAAAATTGGCAATCTACTGCCTAATTTAGGAAAGTTCGAAACTTAGGCAATATTTTACTCATTATCAGCATGATATGCGAATCTAATGAATATGTAAACTAAAAGCTTGCAATTGTCCCCCCCCCCCCGTTTCTTCTAAGCATCTTAAAATTAAAAATCTACACAGCAGCAACCAAGTTTCACAAAACACTTCCCTTTAACTAATGAATTTTAAAGCATCTCCAACTGAAAAAGTATTTATACATTTTTAGAATATGTTGCATGATAACAATGCTTTAATTAACTAAAATTCCTTTCTTTATTAAATAGCCCTTTCTCTAAACTCTCACCTCTATCTTGATTTCCATTTTCAGAAAGCATTTCTTGTAATTAACAATATTTTGCTCAAGTACTTTCAAATGATTCATACAATATTTTAGTTTCCTTTACAAAAACATTTTATTGTTCCAAAAGAATAATCCATTGGTGAAACAACAGAACTTTTTTTTTCCAAATTTCAGCATATGCCAGGTAACTATTAACCTTCCTGGCTCAGTCACTAAAGACAGAAAATATCTGACAATAAAAAGGTTTCACTCTAACTTTCACTTTCAACTTTTCTTTGTACAAGAAATGTGTAATAATTATAAATCCTTTTTGAAACTTTTTTTTTCCTTCAAATTTTTAAACAAAGTTTGTACACCCTTTTTTACATTTTATTATTAAAAGACAATCTTATACTTATTTATAATCATGTTTCATCAAAATCACAACACCCAATTAAAAGCTAAATGGTTTTCAAAGAGTTTTATAGCATGTTCTGCTTTCAACAACACACCTAGACAGTGAATATTACACTTTTATTGAAATTTAAACTTTTTTCTCTATTAGCTGTTCATATAAATATTTTTCAATTACCTTTTCTAGATTTTCTTTTGGCAACAGATTTTTTTTACTTTTAAATCAGTTGTAAAAATATGTGGCATGGAGACGACACTTAAAACATTTGTGAGTACGAAATCCTTTCAAGAGGTTTGGTGCAAGAACATCATACCCTCCCTCAAGACATTCTATATCAAAATTCGAACAGCTTTGGTTTTCTGTCAGGTGTAAAATTAATTGGCTTCCTGTGGTACACCAATTTTGTGGTTCTCAGTATTGTATAGCTGCATGGCTGATGAGTACCAGCCATTTCCTGCATGTCTTTTGGGACATTACTTTAATGCCTCATGTTTAAAGAAATGCTTGGCAATTATCTTTATTATGAATATTAGTCATTCAGAATTTATAAATATTCGTTCCATGTTTTTTACATCTCTTTAGAACAGAACACTTTTTTTTAGTAAACACACAAAAAAGTAACAAACACACCTTTAACCCACAAAATGTTTACATGCACTATATTTTTAAGAATACAATATGTAATTACTATAGATCCAAATTTTTCTTTTGAGGTTTTTAATCTTCCTTCCCACCCCACAGAATTGCTCTAAATAGAGAAACAATTTATTTCCATTATAAAAGTTATCATATAGCTGTTACCAAAAGACAAATTGAATGATTATTTACCATTTCAAACCAAGATTAAAAAAAAAAAAAAAAGAAATTAACTTACTTCTCCACATATACTGAAAGGATTAAGCTATACGAGGTGTATGTACACAATAAAACAGATGTAAAAATTTTACTTGTTAATTGACAAACATTAAATATGGTAAACAGTATTATACTCAACTTTTAATAAACACTATGAATTGTGGAAATTCTGTATTTATGTGACAGGGGAAATAACATTCTTATATTTAAACTAATGCTGACATAAAATGCAGCAGGTTAAAATTCAAAAATTGCTAACATATATGCAATGAAATTTATTCAACATTTGTATTTTCAAAAGCAGCCCTTTAACTTCATAACACAAACTATTAAATGCAGCTTTTCATGGGGGATTAAAATTACTTACCATGAAATGATGTTTCCTTTCTGGTGCTCCGGATGATTTTTAAAAAAATGGAGCGAGCAAAATAAATACTATTCGAATTCAACCGAAAAGAACCGAACATCCCACAAACAAAGTTTTGCCCAGATACTATTATTCTTCATTTCCAGTACTTTGGAGTATTTAGTAATTTTATAGATGGAAAATTAGGAACAATAAATGCAAATACTCAAGCATAAATTATACACTGGAATGAAAGATGGGAAATGTCATAACTACGCCTTGTTTTCAACATAGTTTACAGAAATATTAAAAAGAAATATCTTTCATAGAATCACATTTTTAATGACAAAATATTTTTAGTCTATTTTTGACACATGCCAACCCCCCCCCAAAAAAATACATACACCAATGATTTTTTAATCAACTTGCAAACATTTTGAAAAGTACTACAGGCTTGCTACACAAACGGAAAAAAGCATAAAATGAATCTGCTTAATACTGATATTGAATGAAGAACTGCAATCTTGCTGAAAATAAAATACTGAAAAGGTGGCAAAATTAAAAGAATCATTTGCAAAAGATGGAAATACAAAATTTCAATACAACTATATTGCATTTCTTTAGAAATCAAAATTAATGTACGGATGCTTTAAAGCAAAGAGATGTTAAGAAATAATTTTGATATTCTTGGATATTTATAAAGATTATGATGTTAAAACAGGAAATTTATGGATAGAAAATACATTACACTATTACTTAAATTAAAATTCAAAGTTAGCATGACATTTCAAATCTGTGGTCAAAGTACTTGTGATTAAAAAGATTACCGAAACTAATTAATATTAAAAAAGAAAGTGAGGAACTTTAGTTGTTTCTACAGTGAAATAAGAGATTGTGGCAGAAAAAGTGGAATAATATATATTTTTCAGACAAATTTGAAAAGCAGAAGGAATCAACTTAATGAACTTTTTACATCAAATTGTAAGAAAATCTGGTTTTGTAGACATTCATATGTGTGAAATTTTACTAGCCAAAATGTCAGCTGTTTCAAATAAAACAAAACGGAGCAATACAGATGTTCTTTTTTATTTAGACATAACAATCAGCAAAAATGAATATCTAACAATATGCAAAGAGAAAACTACTACTACTATATTAAACAAAAATCTCAGAACTGAAAATTTTGTAACTATCCCCCCTTTAACAATGCCCAAGGTTTAAATACATTCTCCTTACAATGGAAATAAAGACAAAAGAAGATTTCCATTTCAAATAAATGAAGTAACAACACAATGATGAAAAATGATTTTAATGTTTACTGCCAGTGTACAACCAACAAACAATATGAGATAACATTATATAATTGTAGTAAACACATTCAGTAGACTACAGAGAAAAGAAGTAAAATGTTTAAACCATTTATCTGAAAAAAAAAACAGAACAAGATAAAAATCTACTACTTTATTTGAAACCAATTTTCCTCACAGTGTAGCATGCTTCTGAAAGCAGCTTAGCCCCTTTGCCAAACATAATGTATACTTTAGATACACAAATACCACCGAAAAAAAAAATTCGAAAAAGTAAGGCGATTAATATATTTTACAAGTGAAATTATTTCAGAAATTACTTACAATATGTAGTAAATAATGAATTTATCAATCAATAAAAATTATTCTTTAAAAAAAAAAAGTTTCCTTCCCATTTATGTTAAACTATTGCCAGTTTCTGGACTTCCATATTAGTTCACACAACTTACAAATTTTCAGAATCTTTTCCACATAAGATGACACGAATATACAAATAACCTTAAAATAAGCTATTACAGCTTTATGATGTGATGCTAATATTCTTCAAAGATGGCACTATAATATGAAATGATGACTATTTGACAACTCGGCGAAAGACATCTGAGTAAAGTTACAACATATATGCAGCCATGAACTCTTACTTAAAATCAGAACATACAATTTATCTTGCGTCAAACAATCATCCATTAATGTGCAAGATTTTTTAAATCATAAACCACATTTAAATAGGAAATCTTAAGTTCCACAAAAACTGCATTATGCAAATATCTGAAATCCAAAATATTGTGTAAAAAAACATACCAGAACTACACACAAATTATTTCAAATATTAATTTCTATTAGTTCAAATACAGAACCTAATATTGAAATAATTTGCAAATGAAAAGGCAACTTTCTTTTTTAAAATTAAAAACCTATGCTTTACTGTATATATTGTGAAATCTAACAAGAAGAAAATAGATCTTGTGACTTTTTTGTAAAATAAATTTAGAAATATACTGCTGATCCTTATTTAGCTGCATTTATAAAAACTAAGCTTTAACCACACACAAATGGACTATGCAAACTCATATCTTAAGCATATAATTTGCAATACATATTCCATAAACAAACCACTTTGATGACAAAAGTAGTAAAACTTTGTTTAGCATATTTGGTAATGAAAAATACGAAAATACAAAAATATGAAACCTAATGGAAAAACCATGTAATATTTCATCACTCTTTTTCAAATGGAAACTGTACATCAAAGATAGCACGAAAACCTGCAAGTTTTTAAGCCTTGTCATAACATTAAAACTGTTAACTCTAAATTGTATCAAGATTTTAATAGTTTTAAAATAGCGAGAATATATAAAATCAAAATTAACCAGAAAAATGGATACCAATAACAGTACCACAAAAATATTTTTTTCTCAGGCTCCTTTACTTCCTTCTGAATGAGTGGTGTAATATTTCCAACTTTCAAAATACAGAAATCACATTTGAAAAAGAGCTAGTTAATCTCAACTGCTAAAATATCAGAACACATGTTTAAGAGCACAAAATTTTCCAACTTATGTCTAACTTTAAAAGAATATATTTTGAGAAATATAATAAAGCAAATTAACAGAACAAGCAGAAAGGTGAATATATTTTATTTTACAATAAAAAAAAAGAGAAATCTTTGGACAATACAGAACTTACACATTTAAGATAGAAAACTACATGGAATGCTCAATAACCAATGTCAGTAAGGGAGGGAAAATAAAAACACTTAACTGCTTTATATGCCACCTAAAAACTGTAATAGTTAAATGATTGGAAATGAAAAAGACAAAATACAAATACATCCCATTAAATTCAATGGAACAACTACTACATGGATAATGCTAAAGACAACTTCAAAAGTTATTGCCCTATAATGAAATTCACAAAAATATTTAAAATACCAAAATCAATTTCTTTTCTTTTTCGTTTCAGACAAGAAAATAAGAACTAATGTAACAATTTGCATATTTAAAGAAAAGTAACAGTGGAACACAACTTGACCAATTCAGGAAACTATAATATGGATGTGGATAGTTCATTCAGCTTGCAACACCAGGTTATTTCTTTTTTTAAAGCATGAAAACATTCAATTTCTAAAAATAGGTCTTGATGTAATAAACTTCTTTCAAAACTAGGACTGAAAGAAATGTCAAAAAGCTGAAACGAAGACAAGAAATGCAGCCAAAGATGAAAAAGTAGAAATATCAGTATAAAGAGACATCAAGAAGACGACCCTCAATACGTGCTCCACGAAGATGATCTAAAATCTAAGTTAAGGAAAAATTTTACAATACAAAAACAAAACGTTTTAAAACTACCTGTAACTATTTATCCACAAAATTACAAGTATATACATACATACATAAACACAAACAGCATCTGCAAAAGTCCAGGTTGAGCCACATAGCAAGCTCACATAATGAATTTGCGAACATTATACAACTGAAAGACTTCTTAAGCTACGAATCATAAGAAAACTTAATTTGCTCAGACACACCACCAATTAAAAATAGAAAAATACCCAGTATCCACCAATAAAAGCTTTTATTTTTGCAACTATTTTGTCACAGATATATACTTCATGTTAAGCAACGTTTTAAATGATGCAGATATTCATGCTTAAAGATTTTTAAATTAAAAAAAGTTTTGTAAAAATTAAACTATACACACTTTCAGAGACTACACATATATTTAGGAAAATTTTATACCGAGTATAAAAAATAAAAACACAAAACAAGTTTAAAAAAAAATCCCCTCACATAAATAGCTTGGTAAAACTGATAATACATACACTACAGAATGAAATGTAAATTTTTATACATGTAACTTAACCCCCCCACACACACACCAAAAAAAAAGGGGGGAGGATATAAGTATTAATCTAAATGTAACTAAAAAAACTATCAATTTAGGAAAAAAGGTCTACAGAGCTGCTTCTTTTCCACAATGCTAAGAACATTAATATATACATATCATACTTGCCAACGTATGACCCTCAAAAATCAGATTTTTTTAAGAATTGAGATTTTTCACAATGTTTAAAAAGACTTTTTAAATGATAAAAATATAGTTTTAAATCTAATTGTTACTAATTCTTAAATGCAAGCAACACAAAGAAGTACCTTACACATAAAAAAACATTTTTATTACTTGCATCGTTTAAGGGGGGGGGGAGGACACTTTAATCAGTTTTCGTACAAATGATATGAACAGTGGCAGATTTGATTTTGCTTTCGTTAGGAAACTTTATAATTTTGTTCATAGCAATTGCCTTGTAGGCCTGCTTAGACCTAAATTTAGTCCTTGTTTTCGAAACACTGAAAATCCTCTGACACTCTGCATTACTATGGCGAACTGTCAAGATGGCTAACATAATTCTAGACAGTTCACTATATTTTAAAATTCCATCAGCATCTTTCAGTTTTCCAATTAAACTCCACTGGGTGTCAATCCTAGCTGATTTTATAACTTGATCCAAGTTTTCTAATTGTAAACTGCAAAATTGTGACTGCAATATATGTGAATGCTGTGAAGCAACACAGAAAATCTGTTCAAAAAGTACCTTATATCAGAAAAAGATGCATTTGCTAGAGCAGAAACATCAGCAACTTTAGCATGCAAAATCACTTCATTGTTGACTGGAAATTTATGTAGTATGTAATCACACACTCGACAGTCATTTCTAACAAACTTATTTTTGTCTTCTTCTGAGAGTTCTTCCACTACTTTTGTAGTTGCAGCTCCTGTTACCAAATCTTCATCTTCTGATTTTCTATTTCACCATAAACCACATCATATATAAAATTATGAGACAAAAAACAGACTGGTTTTACAAACTTTGATAAAATGTCTTTAAACAGATCATAAATCATTGATTGCAAAACATGAATTATTGGAATTCTGCTTTGCAGAACTGTGTTAAGAACATCGAATGATGGCAAAATGAATTATAAAAAAAAGCAAAAAGCTTTGTTAAGGTCCTAAGAAAAAACATAAATATTCGTTCTTCATAAGATAAACTTACAGTACAAATTTTCGTGTGTTGAGCAATTTTTTTATTTTGAGAGAAATTTGTATCAGCTTTACGCATATTTTGCAGTATTATTTTGAGAACTGTCAGTTGAATTGCTGAATGGTGCAGAAATTATGGTCGTTCAAGGACATCTCGACACTTTTAAGGAAGTCCCATTGAAGCACCTCCAAAGCTTTTCTGACGACTTTTGCAGCATATGGGTGGACATTGTCATGCTGAACGATACCAATGGCTATACCCATGGACTTGAGATGTTATGAAATTGCTTGCTGTATCACTCCCAAGGTTTTAACGAGCTTCTCTTGAGTTTGGTATGCATCTTGGTCCAATAACGGCTCCAATTCAGCATCTTCAAACTTTATGCCTTTCCTTTGCATTCTTTGTCGCTGGTGTAAATATCACCACTTTCAAAATGCCAGAACCAATAGTCACACGTTTTTATCGATGAAGCATGTTCCCCATATGCTTCAAATAGCAATCGATGTCCATCAGATGCAATTTTCCTCAAATTAAAATAAAAAAGAGGTGCTTCCCGCAAATTTTGTTCTGTTGGTACAAACATTGACATGAATTGAGCCCAAAGAAAGTTTGTTGTTTACACTTCAGCGAAATGAAACACTGACTTTTAGATGGAAACGCTAGAGCTCTACATGAATATAGTTATAACCAGAGCCGTGGAGTCGGAGTCGGGCAGATTTTGGGGTAAAAGGAGTCAGAGCTGAAGTCGCTAAAAAGAGGCACCTCTGACTCCTTGACTCCAACTCCAGTTTTTGTTGGACAGTTTGGATTTGAAATGAAATCCAAATGAATTGAAAAAATTATTGACAACCTGAGTTATTATTTTTATTTATGGATTATATACATTAATAAATAGTTATTTTCTATTTTATTGACATATTAGTAAATAAATATAAGGGAGGAGGACGGATGTGATATTTGCCATTAGTGATTAAACGGATTCATTCAGTCAGAAATCTCGCTGGTAAATTTAGGTAAGCAACAACAGCAGCAAGAACTCCCAAAATTGATGCCATTCTTAGAAAGTGAGCAGAAAAAGAAGCAATCATTAGTCAAGCAACGCAATAAGGAAGTACATATTTGATGATAAAGAGGTTGCTAGAATTAAGAACTTTTTTTAGAAGATGTAGATAACAACAATGTTTCACTAACAGAAAGACTGGAATGATCTTGCAGAATTGGAAACTCTTCTTTCTACACCATATATAGCCACAAAAATGCTGCAATCTGAAGAATTGATAGGAGGTGAGAAATGAAACAACGTGAAGTTTGTTCTTTCTGAAATAAAGGGTTTATTGCAGAAGGAATCATTTCTTCAATGAAGAAAAGAGAGACTAGTTTGCTAGACAATGAGATCTTGCTGGGTTCAATATATGTAGATCCAAAACACCGAATTTTCTTGGATGACGAACAAATTAAAAAGGCAAAGAAAGCCATCTATGAACTCTCATTAAGAATTAAATTATTCTCAGAACAACTGGAGAATTCAAATCAGGACAGTCAAACTGCAATTGAGTAGCTATCATCCTCTTCCAGTGATGAATTAGATTTTGAGAAATATCTTTGGATAATATTGAAAAGCCTAAGGCAAAGGGAATGAATTAAAGAACCAAGAGCCTTAAGATATAAAAATGAAAAAATACAAGATTTCTACACGGCCTTTGAAGAAATAGAGAAATATGATTTCGCTTGCAAGAAACCTCTTTTAGAACTTCTAAAAATCTATCCCGAAAAGTCAAAAGAAGTAGCCCTAACAATAACAGCTCTCCCTCCTACTCAAGTTTGTGTGGAAAGACTCTTCTCAACGCTGAAGTTTATCAAATCGGATCTATGGCCCTCCAACAGAGAAGATCTTGGTGAAGCTATACTTTCTTAGAAATAATTAATGCCTGTTTTCCATTTCATAATAAATGCTAATTAATATAAATAATTTACTATGCCATCAATATTTTTTTCCTGCAGCATCTATTACTTCTTTTATATTAAAAAAATAAGCTGTGTAACCCATGTGTATATGTTTACATACACACACACACACATATATATATATATGAGGGATATTTTCCCTACCGACTCCACAGCCCTGGTTATAAGACTATCCGATAGAATTTAATACTAGTAACGTCCTCTTATGTAAATCCCTCAAAACTTATTTGTACACCCAATACTTCAGTTATCTTCAAGATTAGTTCTTACAGCGCAGCATATAGCTGTTTAGAAGTTACAGTACTTACCTTCATATACTAAAATTATTCAATATTCAAATTCTCAAGTGCAAAAGCATTTCAAAATTAAGGAGGGGGAATTATAACTAGAAATAACTGTATAAAATGCACTTTTTTAAGCAAAAAAGGATACCAACTGCACGCTGTGCATCTCTCTCAGAATTAAATCTGATTACAGCAGTTCCTCGTGATTTCATCTCAGTGAAACGAATGTCACCTATAAATAAAAATGTGTGTAAGAACATAAACATATAAAAGTTTCGGAAAAAATATTCCTCCTCATGTACGCAAGATGTACGCATGTATACTAAAATACTCTGCAAAAGCAAATTAAAATACTGGTGTTTTTGCCTTTTATTACAACAAAGTTAAAATTACTACAATATTAATTTATGCCATTTTTTTAACTGGAAACACTACAAGCTATGCAAGTTATACTTTAAAATAAGTTGTTAAACTACATGCAAACTTCACTTGAAGATTTTTCTGTTTAGTTTTTAACCTAACACTGCATGATTTTCTTTCAATCTGGAAATAAGACATGTTTCCAATATGAAAAAAATTATCCAATATAAAGAACTTCAAATAAAATTCATTCATAAGTACAATTCTTATTTCAGTACTTATTATTCCTATAATTTCTTTCAGGATGCATATTTAAATTTATTAATGCAACACTATTAAATAGAAAAAATTTGCCTGGAATTTGAGAAATATTAGATATGCATAATAACAATGTCTAACCTTTATTTTTAAATTTAAACTTATAAAATTTCTAACCACATTTACATTAAATCCGGAAATGTCTATTTCATTAATATTGCATGTGTTGGTGAAGCTGGTAACATAACTTCATGACACATTAGTAAAAACAATGCTGTTCAAAGAAGCATTAAATACATGCACTCTTTATTTAAATTTGAAAGAAGAAAAACACCAATGCTGTGAAAATGCCAAGTTCTCCACAAAACAAACTATAACAAACAAACAAAAACAAAATAAAAAACTCAACCAGCCACAAAATAAAAAAATTACTAAACAGAAGCTCTTCTCCAATATGAAGTTACACATATTAAATGTGTATAAAATAGTAGTGGATAAGTCCAGATCTTACATCTCAGAAACAAAATGTCTGAAATTGAACTTTTTAATTACACTTTTAATTAAACTTAAAACAAGAATACTTTCTCAGACCAAACATAATTAAATAGCTATGACATTAAGTGACAATCGCTGAGTAATTTTATACAATCAATCAAAATAAAATACAATAAGAAAAAACATAATAAAATTTAAGGTCCTTTCTGATCATCTACATCCCCCATGCAAAGTTGGCATTAAGTACAGACAACTTTGTAAACTGTCGAAAAACATTTGTTTGGTTATCTTTATGTTTCATATGTCTTTTAATAATAATAAAAAGTATAAGAAACAAGAGATTTTATAAAAAGATAAAAAATCTATGTGGTCAATATTTACACTTTAACAAACAGAAGATGCTGTTCAGGAAAATAACAGTTAATAATCTCAAAATCATTAATCCACAATGGTAACAAATGTGCTCAAAAAGTGCACCAAACACCTGCTAATTCTACTGAATGTTTATACCAGAGCTGCAGAAAATCAAAGCACCAAATTTATATTGCTCATTGTTATAAAATAAATACACACACACAAGTATATAAATAATAAGAAAATTTGTAACACATTATTTTCCACACAAGTAAATAATAAAAATTTAGAACCAATTTTCTAAAGACCAAAATTTGAAATTCATAATAAATTTCACAAAGTCCAAAAAATGCAAAAAAGAATTTAATCAATATTAAAACTAAAACTTTTAAAAGTAACTAAAACTTTAAAACTAAAACAAAAAAAAAAAAAAAAAAATGAAATTTAGAAACAAGAATATATGAATTCAATCAACTTCAATGCTACTTTGTAAAATGGATTCTAAATTTGTTACTTGATGTTTTTTCAGCAGCTTAATGCACAAAAATACTAGATATAATTACATTCGATTTTTAAGAAATTTTACTGCAATTATATATATAAAGCTACTTAAAAATACTTAAGTTTTTTTTAATAATTCACAGCTTTTATTAAATTTTTCCTTGGAGGCAATATATAAATACCCATCCCAATAAAAATTTATATATATATATATACAGTACAAAGAAGCATTACTGGACATCTGGACTTGTCGGGACTTCGGCGATCCAGATTAAGGGTTTTTCCGGATTATAGATCATCAATTTAAATCTGGTAAGATGGCATGCAGAAATTATACAATTTAAAAATATGAAACTATAATTTATGAAATAAAAAGCAATTATGATCTAAAGGGTATCAAAATTTACAAAAAAAAAAAAAAAAAAAAAAACTCATTTCATTTGCTACTTTTATAAAGCATTTCTTTCAATATAAGTTGTTTAACCCCTAACTGCCGCGGGCGTATATATACGCCTTGCTCAGCCGGTGCGTTAACTGCCCCAGGCGTATATATACGTCCTTCCAAACTGCTATCACTTGCTTTGCGCTGCTACACCTAAAATTATTCGCAAAGTTAATGCACCGGCTGCGCATCTGGGGCAGTTAACGCATCGGCTGAGCAAGGCGTATATATATGCCCGCTGCAGTTAAGGGGTTAAGTTGCTTCGTTTTTTTTTTCCCTTGTGCTAAACGCTCATGCGTAGCATTAAACGCATTACGTGCATGCGCAAAGCATACAAATAAAAAAGTTTGTGGCTTTGAGGTCCAGATTATAGATCATTCCGGATAATGGACGTTCGGATTACAGACTTTGTACTTGATATAAAATATGTGCCTAGAATTTTAATAAAATAGGCACGTTTTTAAAAGGAAGAATCAAACCCTGGACAAATTGTTCACATCGCAAAAGAAATTTCTTGTTCTATACTTTTTTTAAAAAAAACTGAACTCTAATTGGTGGGGGGATAGCTCCCCCCCCGGCAATTTTCTCAGATCCTTTTTATTTTCCTGACTTTGAGTGGGGAACTTGGCTTTCTTATTACAAAATTACAGTTTCATAACAAATCAGATAAAACATAGTCAGAAAGTAATTACAGAATTTTTTAATGGTTTTACTAAATTTTAGATTTTGTGAAAACATGAGGAATTACATTGCACACAAAATATAAACTGTAAATAACCACAGAAAAATTTAACACAAAAACAACAAGCATTAAATAACTTACCAATGTCTCTAAATCTGTCCCTGAGATTCTGCCATGTGTATGTCATAGGAAGCTATTAAAAAAATTCTAATTTCAGAAAATGATACCTTATATATTTATTATTTTAAAAATAAATATCCTTAATCTATGGGTAAATATCTTCTATGACTTATCGTCACTACAAAATATGTGAAAAATAGCATATTTCAAGACAATCCTTAAACACTAAATAATTAAAAAAATCTGATATGTAATTACAAAACTAATTTTTTAATGTCAGATTTAGTTTTTTTAGTTTAACAGCTAAAAAAATAGACTAGCATCTTTGCAGTGCAAGAAGTGCAATTAAAAATGCAACTTCTTTTCTAATCAGAAATATTTATTCATATTCAAATGCAAGCTAAAATATTTGATGTTGACACCACGACTTCATTGTATGGCATACTATACTCATTCAATTAATTCAGTTCTCATCTGGCAGCAAGGCAAGAATACACAAGAACTAAGCATCTTCATTAAAAATTGTAAAATACAGAAAAAATATAACACCAAATGCTGTTAAAAAAAAGCACTTTCGACAATTCTAATTAACCCTCCAAGTGGCTTGGGTTTTTGTATCTGTCATGAAAATCTGTATTTAAAGAGCCTTTCTTAGCTAAATTTGTTTACTTACTTTAGGCTCTATTTTCATATTACATTTATTAAGATGACATTTATATTATTAAATAAAGTAAGAAAGCAAAATATCAAATTTTATGCCAAGTGTATTTATCTTAATATGCCAAGTGACAAAAAATCTCATGACCAGATAAAGATAAAGCCAGCCATGGCACTCAGAGGAAGAGTCTGTATGCCCCCCCCCAAAAAAAGGGAATTTAAGCCAACAGGCTGGAAGACGGATTTTTCAGTGCACAAGAGTGAAAGTTTACTTTTGGTCCTACTCAGCATAAACACTAAGGTTGGTTCAGAAACTGATTTAACTCATTATTCTACTAAGAATTTCAAATATAAACAAATGGCAGGTTCATTAGGCGTTTTTATGCCTTTAGATTACTACAGGCATTAAAACCTTAACCGGAACAGACATACTATAGAGACAGCATACTCAAACCTGTTTAATGTCTAGTGTACTATAATTTGATCACTTTCAAAGCAAAAAATGCACAATTTACCAGCCTATAAGAACAAAAAACTGGGCTCACATAACCAGATAACATAGTTAATTATATATGCACATCTGGTGTGGCAGATTATAACCAAAAAGGGGGGATGCAGAACTACATGTTATAGCAGCCCCATATACAAAATTTCAATATTCTATGGCTACTTGTTTTTGAGTTACACCAGATACATCAGTACATAGAGTTGTCAAGAAAATATCTTTTCTGAATACATTTTACAATTCCCTTTTTTGGGGGGAAGAGTCCTTTATTCTGTCCATAAGTACAGATTACACACAATTACATAAACTGTACAAACTGGATGCCCTGAGTGAATGAGCAGCTAGCACACAGACACCTGTTTTCCCTACTGCGGTTGCCTGAAATATCCCAAAACCTAATTACCCCTTAAGCAAATAGCCAAAACCACAATTAAGTAATACTCATAAATGGACATCCCTGCAAACTTTCCTCATGAAAATGAACAACTTAAAACAAAGAGACACCATACTCAAACCTGTTTTTGTGTGGTGAATAGGGACTGCGCTATGAAAAAGGCATTTAAAAAAATTGCCCAAAACTTCACGAATGGCTATAAAAAAAGAATCAGTCATTTAGTTGACTTTTTACCATGTAGTCAGTGATCAGTTTATTGTGACGACTTGTTTCACTAGATGTTTGTATATGTCTCGGTAGATATACAAGAATGAAGCTCTCTTTCTATAGATTATTTATTTATTTATTTACCCGATAACTTTGTCAGTTATGTTACAATTTGATTTTCAAATGCTGCACACATACATATACACAAAATCGCACAAAAAAAAAGACCACACAAAAACAAGTTTGACTGCATTTCCTCCCGGTTTAAAACCAAAATCATATGCTGAACTAGATAGTCACAGAAATTTTAAATAATAAATTTCTTGAATTTTTCAGATATGAAAAGAGGTGGAAACATTTCAAACAATACAGATTAAAAGCTACAAAGCAATAATTAAACTCCAAAGAAATTAATAATTACTTTAGGGCAATAATTATTGTTTACATTCCAAAGCAATACAGTACAAAGTCTTTAACCCGGACGTCCATAATCCGGAATGATCTATAATCTGGACCTCAAAGCTACAAACTTTCTACACATGCGTCAACACATTACGCATATGCACATACCTTTACGCATGCGCGTTTCATGTATAACGGACAGTATAAGCTAGGCTAAAATTATCTATTTCAGTTCATGTTGCAGATTGCGTTGTTCTTTAATCTTCTAATTAGATCCGGCTTATTATTTTTTGCAGACTGTTAGAGCAATTTTATAAAAAGTAAGCTTGAACTTTCGATTATGTCAAAAAGAGCTTCTTATTCTGGAGCTGCCACATAATCTACAAAGCGAAAGCATGTTTCGACGTCCATCAAACAAAAAGTGGAATTGCTGCAAAAAATGTAGAATGGCATATCCTTTGTTCCTCTAACCATTCAGAAACCTGTTTATAAATTTCATGCAGCTTTGCGGGGGGCCGCAGCACGCAATGAATTGGAAGTTGATCTGTCAGCACTATCCTCACCTTCAGGGCAGATGTTTTTATTTTATTCGGCTTTTAATTGCTTACTAAATGTACTATTTCATCTCGATGTACTCCGTCTTTGATATGTTATAAATCAAATTCCTCGTCATTATAAATATCACAAATACGTATCAAATAGTTTTCTAGTTGCAATTTTCTAATTTCGATTATGCGTAATGTATGCTTTACACATGCGCGCAAACAAATAAATATTAAGCTTTTTTTTTTTTTGTAAATTTTGATACCCTTTAGATCATAATTGCTCTTTATTTCATAAATTACAGTTTCATATTTTTAATTTTATAATTTCTGCATGCCATCTTACCGGTTTTAAATTGTTGATCTATAATCCAAAAAATCCGGAATCGACGAAGTCCCGATAAGTCAGGATTAGACTTTGTACTGTATATATTAGCACATGAGCACTCGCTAGCTATGAGGGTCCTAAGGAAATCCCATCAGTCCATTAAGCAAAAGTTTGGTTGGTACTGGATAATGACCACAAGACTCGACTGTGCATTTAATACCGTTACTGTGCTAGCAGTTACCTGTAATCACCAGTAATATTTTACAGCTTTCATTCTCATAAATCCCATTAACCCCTTGAGGACCAGCACACGCAGAATGAAGCACAGCGATGGGACCAAACCCCCTGAAATGGAATGCCACCACCAAGGCCATGCATTTTCAGCAGTTAAGCCTACTTTTACAAAAAAGAATTCATATAAAATCAGCATTATAATATAATTGCCTCAATTTTTGAAGTTACGTACATAATATACTAATTATTAATATTTATTAATATAAAGAGTATCACATTAATAGAAAAAAATGACACATGCAAAATACTAAAATTATTACTATAATATAAGCATGAATACAAATACTATATGTATAAAAACAAAATTACAAATAAAAAATGCAAAATAAAATTAAGTAATAATTATCTGTAGGTAATTAACTTTCAATTTAATAATTCTGCAGTGTGTGGAATAATTAAGGACAGCAGTGGCATTTTTCGCGGAGTATATGCTGACCATGTAAGATACATCATGCATCGGGAAAGCTGATATCTTCCCCCTTCTGTAAAGTTACTTTTTAATTAATCAAGAAAGTCTATGTTATGTGCGATTCCTGGTTTGTTTACGCCAATAAATCTACCAAAACCCGGAAGCACAGAACAGAAATTGATGCTCATACATGAAGGTCTAAAGCCATAGACTTGAAGGCTGTGAAAAAAACCATTATCATTTAGCACCATCTACTGGCATTTAAAAATTCAAATAAATCATTGTTTTCAAGTTACATATACGTGACGACACTTGGCCGTAGATTGATTGGAGCTCTTCGTGACGTATACGTGACGCTGGTCCTGAATGGGCTAACCTGTTTCTCATAATTATACTGATAATTGTATTTAAATTAACAAAACAGAAAAAAAAAAACGGAAATGGTAAAAAACTTATACTGTACTTATAAAGATGTGTCCTAAATGTAAAATAAAATATTACATTTATGACACATCTTTATAAGTAGTTTATCTTTTATAAGTACACATCTTTATTAGTATATTTTTCATCCATTTCCAGAATAATCATGTTTCTTTCATATCAAAAACATTAATGAATTCTGTTCACAAGGAATAAGTACGACAACGGTGTGTAAAGACAAGTGAGAATATAAAACACACATACATACAATAAATTATTTTTTTAAATATAAAAGGTAAATAAAAACAAAATAGCAAATGCAGTATTACATGCTCAAAAAAGTGGCTTACATTTCTCACAACAATTGTGTCCGAGGCGCGGTTGTTTCGATATCCATCATCACCTCTGTCAAAAGACCTGTCATAATCATTGTATCCCAATCCAGCACCACCTCCAACACCAGCTCCTGCTGCCCCAAGAGGTAAACCTGATCCTCCAAGTCCACCAGTTAAAGATGTTCCAAGGCCACCTCCAAGGCCACCAGCACCAAGAGCAGCTGGGTTGTTAGACATTGCACCAATTCCACCAGGTAGTAAATTAGGGTTGCCAAGACCTGCAGTTCCAGTGCTACCAAGACCCAGACCTTGTCCAACACCACCAACACCTACGCCAGCTCCAAGAGAGAAATTTCGTTCCTGTATCCCCATTCCAATACCAGCAAGCCCAGGAATACCAGTTGCACCAGCACCTACAACTCCAGGTCCCACCTGGTTTGACATAAGACCAAGATTACCAGCACCTACTCCTCCAAGGCCCGGAGCAAGGGCAGCTGGAGCTAAATTGTTTACAACACCTGTAGAATCTGTAATATAAATAAATAAAAAATATATAATTATTTTAGGTGACTCTCACTGATATTAAAAAATAATACATAAGCAACATTCTTAATAATCTTTTTCTCAGTATAGTTTTTGTGACACATTCTTCCTTGTTTACACAGAAAAGTATTTAAGACAAATAATCATGCTGACTGATGGGTTAATATTTTTATGTTTATGAAAATAAATTAAATGTCACAATTTTAAACTGTTTCAACTGAAATAATTTAAGCATCTATTAATATATGTGGAGAACTAAAACCAATAAACAAGTAAAGCAAATATTTTTCTTAAATAAAATTTAAAGTACCAAAACACACTTAAATCACCAATATGGTAGAAAACATGCTTCCTTATTAAAGTCGTCGCGACTTACACACAGTTGGTCAGTTACCAAAATTGGCTTACCATGATAGCAATTATAACAGTAACTTGTTAATAACAACAACAGTAAACTTGTATCACAGATGTACAATATAATGCATACTGTTTGATATACACATAATATGTTTTGTGCAATTCAAGATCTACTAAAAAAATGTACCAAAAACAAATCTTTCTGTACATATTGAAAGCTACAGTAACATATCAATATATATGTAATGTTTAATGTACTATAGAATTTTTATTTAAGCAAATACCATCAAAATATAAAAAATGACAAAAATGTAATTAAAATTTGTATTTTTATTTTTTATTTATTAACTCATTAACAAATGTTTAATGCAATGGGCCTTTTAACGTTGACAACCAACAAATATTCGCATGGCGGCAATATGCAGGATGAGAAAATATAGTATTTTTTTCTGTTCATGTATATATACAGTGATCTGTTTTCAGTATACAGAAAAGAAAAGTAGAATTGCACAATTCGGCATCATGCACATTTACAACAACCACAATTAACAAGAAAACTTCATGCTTTGTTCCCCCCGCCAGAATCTGATGATCTTAATCGAGTCCTACATTTCCCTGCCTATTAGTGCCTACATTTCCCTGACAAGAAAGTGTCCTGAGCCCCCAGTATACAATTTACTGGCGATATGCTTTGCTTGCTTATTCTTCTTCCTATGCACAGACTTTCCAAAAAAAATCACTGCATACTCTTGTTCCTTTGTTTAAAGCTTTTAAACCATAAATTTAATTTTAAATGGGTTAAAAACAATAAGATAAAAAAGTACAATTTTCTAAAAAGATATAACTTTCTGATCTGTTTAAAAATTCTAAAACATTTAAAAACTCTGGATTAGTAAAATGTTAAATAATAATAATTTCTGTTACCTTCATAGGAAAAAAAAAAAAAAAAAACTTACTTGACAAATGAAGAGGAAGACCATTTGCACCAAGGCCTTTTCCAACACTCTGGAGACCCTCTACAAAAACAAATAAAAAATGAAATGCATTTTAACACACAAAACAAAAATATTATGTTAAAAACTAAATACACAATGCAAGTTTTATCCTTTTTCATTTAACCAAATTTTCTAATATGTATTATTTACATACGGTCGACAAAATATAATTAGATGTAAAGTTTTCACACACTTTTTTTTTTTCTCTGCTATATTCTCATCATGTTCTTAGCTATAGATATATACAGACACTGAAAGAACCATTACATTATGACCACTCTCCATCTATAACAATGGGCTCGCCCAGGAACAAAACCACTGTGTGCGCACGGCTGATGTTGAAGTATATAAAGTGGCTAGGCATTGTCTTTCCACACTTAGCACAATTAATGACACAATGAAGAAAAGCAGGTGATTTATCAGACTTCGGTAGAGGTCAAATCTTTATAGTTCGGTGACCGTGAACATCAATATCAAGCAATGCGTTTAGTGGGCTGTTCATGTGCAGTTGCTGTGAGTACATATCGAAAGTGGTGTAGGGATGGTGAAATGATCGCTGGCCAGTTGGATGGAGCATTGATTCCAGAGGAAAGCAGAGATTACTACGCATTGTTCTCCGTGACCGAAGAAGTCTGCAACAGCTGAAATTACCACCAACTACAATAGTGGTGACCCAAACAGTGTTCCTCAACACACTTCGGTTCAGTTGTTCCTGAAACACAACACGCTCTCTCGACGATGCACTAAGAGACTCTTTCGATGCACTCGACGACCCACTTGCTCGGCTGTCAACTCGATCGATTCTGCACAGACTGACTAACTCGGCGCTAGACTTCGTATACTTGCTCAATGACTGACTATCAGCTGGCTAGACAAGGTACACAAACACAATTGACTGCGAACCAGCAGGGTTTAGCTTTTGGCTTGTGTTTGAGAACATTCTGGGCTAAACCGGTCAGAATTTATTCCAGAAGATTCTCCATCCATCCATGGCATACATCAATTTTGTCCCCAAATGGGCGATTTCTCACCAATGTGGCAATCTTGCCTTCCCTTGTCATTTTATGTCAATCCTAAACCGGCTTTGCGGGGAAGCCATCTCACGGCACCTGGACATTTCGTAACAAAATGTTACTGGCCAAGTTTGAAATCCGGCACCGTATAGAATGCCTAAAACTAGCTGGGAATGTACGAAATGATTCACATTTTACACATTTCTTAAGACATTCTATAGAATGCGAAATGAGAAACCGGCAAAGTATGAAATACACCTTCGACTAGTTTCATATCACGCGCCTCAGGCTCAGAATTTGTCAGTTGCACTTTGCAGGGGAATGTCAAAATATGCACTTTTATTTAAATTTGGTCAACAAAAAATTAGTTTTTTACTGTGCTGCATGAAAATGGAGGAGTAAGCTGTAGTGTTGGAGAATGAGTCATGGCATTTAGACATGATACGATTCTATGATTAACTGTCCGAAATTCCGAATTAATGCTGCGAAAAACAGTTTTTTCTTAACTGAAACTACTTATTTTTCTTAGTAGTCATTTGGCCTTTTTGTACATCATGTTATACTTTAAAAGTTATAACATGATGTAAAAAAAAGGCAAAATGACTACCAAGAAAGAACCCAGGGGCTAACTATAAACTCATTTATCCTGTTCAAGAAGGTGTCAGTACTATACAGTGTTATGTCACGGACTTCTTGAAGCTCATTTGGCTCTTGGACGTGATAGGATGTTGAAAGAACTTTCAACCAAGTACAAAAATATTATACGTCATGACACTGAACTGTGCATCTACCTCTGTGAACCTCGCCCGAAAAAACAATAATGTATAAAAAGGGCATTGCTGTGAAACCTACGATTGTTTCCGAATTTAATTCCTCTTGTCAGGTAGATCTTATTGACTTTCTGTCTCAGACAGAGAATACAAATTTATTATGGTGTACCCAGATCAGCTCACAAAACTTGTGATTCTCCAGTCTCTTATGTCAAAAAAAGCTGAAGAAATAGCCTGCAAACTAAGTGGACATATTCTCGTTGCTTGGAGCACCATCTATATTAGTCTGACAATGGTAGGGAATTTGCCAATAATGTGGTGACCAGCTTCAAGGAATTTGGGCAGCACTGTAGATCGTCCATGGCAAGCCTTGCCCTTCACAAATCCAGGGTAGTGAATCACAGGGTTGCCACTCAAACAGGAGAATGAAATTCCCCAACTTTTTCAGATGTGTTTTAAGAAAAATCGAATCTACCCACGTAATGAACGTGGGCTGTACTGAGATGCAAATTAATTACTGTACTGCTTGAAAACACAAAACTTTGACAAAAAGAAAAAGTTTTAAAGATTTTGCAGTAAAATCCCACTATACACTATGGCCTTGCACGATTTTTATAACTGTCGCCAACAACAAAATGACCCTTTCACTGCTCATCATAATGTTGCCAAATCCCATGTGTACCGTATACTATCATTAAACTGCTTTTGTTTTATGAGGGTGGGAAATATTTCTTTTCGTTCAACATGCCATGCGCATAAAAGTCTCTCGATTCTCGAGATTACTGGAAACCAAAGCTGGTGGAAACTTTTTTTCTTTGCCCTTTCCAAAAGAAAACTTGATTGGAGCTGTGAAAACTGTCTTTATGCCAGTTGCCCGAATGAATGCTCACACCATATATAATTCACCATGAAAGTGATCGCTTCCAACACTGGCGCAAAACTCACTTTTTTTAGGGGGATCACCATATGAAATTCTCAGACTTCTCCAGATTTTAACTAAAATATTTAAGTTCCCTGACTTTTTTGCTCAATCTTCGAATTCCCCAATTTATTTCGGTTTCCAAAGTAGCTTGATACAGGTCAGTAAAGGAAACAAGTGATGCACTTGCATACAAAAAGGGTTGCCATAAAAATTCATACCTTCTGCGGCCATGCTAGTAAAGATGATGAAATGAATATTTTGTGCAGCCTTTGTTTCAAAACTGAAAATGCTATTGAAGGTAAAATAAATTCTAAAATCAATCTGGGCGTACAAGACAAAAAAAGATAAATTTGGAGAAAAAAAATTTTCCGCTGCTTCTTAGGGAACCACTGTGCGATATTCCTGATATGGACAAGAAGAGAGGTGATTCACATAAAAATTTGGCAGCAGTAATGAGTGTGACAGAGATTAGTTTCTCTACTGACTTCTGAAAGAATTTTAAAACAAGTATATGCAATTTCACAATTCATTGTATGCCCCAAGAACTTGATTAGATTCGAAGATATTCCTGAACATGAAATTCTTTTCCACTTAGTCGCAATTCCTCAGTCAAGTGGAAGCGGCCAAGGATTCGTCAAATGTATATATGTGCAATGGATAATGCATATGTAAAACAAAGTGCCAAAATACGAAATGCCTTTGCATAACAAAGTTTATTAGATGTAATTCAAAATGCCGGTTAAGCGTAATATGCTTCAAAAAGTGTGTTAATTTTAATTTCTATCAGAAAATTTTGCTTCCCTTAAGAAGAAAGGCATAAATTTTGTTTTGTACCACTTTCACTTTTCTTTACATAGTTTAAATAATTTGCCAACATTTGTGTCTTTGTGGAATACATGTAATTTATATGTTGTAGAATTCAAAAAAGTTCAGACATAACAAAATTTTTTTGCAGTAGGGCGACTATGAAAATGTTTTTGTGTTACATTCTCACTCTTTTATAAAATTGGTTTATCCCAAGAAAGCTTCCGGCAACAGCTTTTGTAGGCAGATGAATTTAGTAACTGGCAATAGAAAGAAAAGCAGTCAGTAGATCAATATACACTCATGTCCATAAATTAAGGATAATGCAAAAATCAGGCAAAGGAAGAGTTATAAGTAAAACAAATTTGACTTATTCGTAAAGCTTATTTATTAAACAAAAGGTAAAGAGCAAAAATAGATGCTATATTTTTGATATTATTAAAAAAATTAGCCATTTTCTCCCTGGAGCAAATTACAAAAAAAAAACCCTATTTACAAAAAACCAATATTACATGGTTGGTATGATTGTTAATAAATTATATGTCTCCCAGACGATGCAATACAGTCCATACAACGCCTAGGCATGCTGAATATCAAATTATCGATCTGAACTTGGGGGATATTACACCACTCAAAAAGCAATGCTCTCCGAAGTTCCGGTAGACATGTAGGAGGAGGTGGACGGGCTGCAACTCGTCGGCCAAGCATGTCCCACACATGCTGTTCTGGATTCAAGTCCGGTGAGAATGCTGGCCAGTCCATGCAGGTGATATCCTCCTATTGAAGGCATTCGCTTACGATGTTTGCACAGTGAGGATGGGCGTTGTCATCCATAAACACAAATTGTGCGCCCATGCACCCCGAAACAAACGTACATGTTGTTCCAGAATGACGTCCCGATAGATTTGGTTTGTCATGGTTCCAATTTGAACATGCAGGTCAGTTCTGGAACCCAGAATAATTTCACCCCAAACGAGGACTCCTGCACCACTGTAACGGTGTCGTTCAATGATGTTTTCTTGGTGGTAACGGGTACCTGGAGCTCTCCATATGAAAGTCCGGTGAGAATCAGACTGCAAGGTATCTGCCCTAAGCGTCTGTACATGGTCTGCCTTGAAATTGTCGTACCAGTGGCTGAAGAGATCTGACGAGACAGGTTTGAGGCTGTGCTCCGTCTGTTTCTTTTGGCAGTAACTGCCAAATACCGGTCCTCATTCAGCGTTGTAACTCTGGGGCGACCTGTGCTGTAACATCTACTCACATTACCATCATCTTGGAATCATAGCCAAAGCCTGGAGATGACACTCTGGGCAATTTCAAGTTCGTCTGATACTTTCAGTTGGGTACGCCCACATTCCAGACGGCCGATAATTCTACTACGTAAAAAATCATCCAAATGCGTCCTTTATGTCATAACTATTCAGTCATTGCACTGAAATGCTTATAAAGTGCGTGCGAACAATTTTACTTTTTTGCCTGTATTCCTTATATATCACTCTCTTACACTCTTGTCATTGTGACGTACCATTGGTGTCATCTGGTTACTTTCTGAAACTTGCATATTATTCTTGAGGATGTGTGTAGAGATTTTACAGGTGATATATTTATTTTAGAGTTTGATTTCCGCGTGACTCCAAATTATCCTTAATTTATGGACATGAGTGTAAATTTCATGTTTGTTTGGGAAGGAGTGCTACGGAGATTTTAGAAATGTTGAAGCATGTGTATGGAAGTGAAATGTTATCAAGAACGCAAGCTTTTGAGTGTCGTCATTTCAGAGAAGGAAAGGAAGGTGCCGAAGATGACAAGCGCTGTGGCCGTCCAGTGACTTCGCACACACCGATGATGAAAGCACCAAAAAGGTGTCTGCAGCGGTACGTGCGAACAGGCAGCAAACAATTTGCCATACAGCAGAATCAGTTGGGATATCAGAGGCCACATGTCCGCGAATACTGACTGAGGATTTAACATGCATAGGGTGTCAACACATTGTTTGTCAACAGACACGCAAGAAGTCATCCTTTCAGCTTTACCATCAATAGAGATATGGCTAGATTTTTTTAACATATATGGAATGACGACAGGCTTCAAAGATAGTTGTAAAGACTGTTGCAACAATTATCTACTTAAATAAAATATTTTACATGCATACATAAATACATGAACTCATACTTACCAGGTAACCGTTTATCTTCAGGTTCATCTTTGTGCTTTTTGTCCTAAATAAGAATTTTGATTAAAGAATCAGTTTAAATTAAAGGTCAGTATATATGCACTTTAAATAAAATCAGCACTTACCATTCGGACACTCATAGTTCTGTTATAAAACTTTTGGCCGTTAAACATAGCTTAAGAGAATTAAGAAAAATCAAAATATGCATGTGCGAATAATTGTATTATACACATTCAAAAATAATCATTAGTCGCTTCAGTATTTTTCATGCTGAACTTATTTTAAAACATGTTTTAATCTTCCTACAGATGACTGTAAAAAAGTAAAAAACATGCTTTGAATATAGAAGTTTCAACAACTTTTATAAAAAGCTACAATCACATAAAGCCTGAAAAGTTTTAAAGCATATACCTGTTATGATGTTTTAATTCATTAACCTTTAAAAGAGTGGTCTGCAAAGGTTTCACTTAAAAGGATGGGTAACCTGAATGCATAAAAGAGATTTTCGTCTGTTCATTTCTTTCTATTAACTGGATCTGTTTTTCTTGACTTCCGAATTAATGCACACTGCACAAAAAAGGGGTAGACAGTTCTGCATCTCCCGTTTTAGTGGGCCAATTTACAAAATTCAAATTGCGTTTTTCATGTCTTGAAAGCGCAACTTAGTATATATATTAGGTTCATATATAGATATAAAATATAAAATTGTTCTAATATAGGTAATTTCACATAAAATCAGACTTTTTTCTGAAATTGAATGCCATTTTTTTTCCATATTTCGATTCTAGGATTACGCCTAAAAACTAAATTTTGTAAAATTTGGTGCAAAATTTAGGGAGAAATTTAAAACTTTTTCTTGCCGCATTGTTCTCAGTTTGCGCCAAGAATAATTCACTTAGCAGCCTATTTTCCTTTACCTTTTTCATTGATGCACAAGTGGAAAAAAAATCAATTTTTCATTTTTCAAATAATTTTTAACAAACTGAGTAAATCACATTTTAGTTATTTTCGCTTACAATAAATATGCCAAATTTGTGAATGCACCAATATGTAAATTCATATATATCTTGGGAAATTTTGAATAAAAAAACTAATATTTTGCAGTTGTGGTTAGAAACACATCTACTTTAGGATGATGGTAAAAATTAACAGAATTCAAAAATTTTTTCAAAAAATTTTTAAATAACTCATAAAAAATGTGCAAATTACATTAAGCCTAAATTTTGAATTCTGGAAGAAGGAATTAAGGAAGTTTAATAAAAAGATATTAATAAATATATAACAATTAACACTGTAGAGCTAATTTTTTTAAAACTGTTCGTGCGATGTTTGAAAAATAATTTGAGTTCTAGAATCGAAACAGTGAAAAAAATATGCATGTCATTTCAGAAAAGTCTGATTTTGTGTCAAAATACCTATATTAGAAAAAAGCTATGTATAAATCTAATACATATCCTAAGTTGCACTTTCAAGGCATGAAAAATGCAATTTGAATTTCTTCAATTGGCTCAGAAGAACAGGAGATACAGAACTGTCCCTATCCCTTTTTTTGCACAGTATACATCAAAAGAATGGAATAGAAACAAAAAATATGCATTAAAAACTGCCATGCTCATCAGCAAATAAGCAAACAGACATGCTTTCCTTATACAATTTTAGTATACAAATCACAAAGCTACTGTAGAAACAGGATTAGACAAAAAACACAGATTTAGAATTTTCAGGCTTAAATAGTAATTTCTAGCTTAAAGAATATTATTAGATAATTTACATAATTTTAATAACATTTTTAATAATAATTGATTTAATATAATTTAAATAACATTTTTATTTTATACTGACACAAGCAGCTAAGCCTTTGTCTGGCTTTTAAGTGTACCCGAAAAATGCCTGAAAGGAACACCAAACGTTAAATTTAAAAACTGCACAAAATTTTACTTCGCAGAACTTCATCAAAAAAATAAACCCACAAACTTTTAAAAAATTTATTACACATAACAAAATTACAATGAAATAAGCAATATCCCTTAATACAAACATTAATTACCCTAATAAACCAATTAACCAACTTCCTGTTGCACATTTTCTCAACAGATGTCCAGTATCCAAGAGAAACATTAAATTTAAAAACTACACAGAATTATGGCCCTCATTTTTTTTAAGTGGCGACAGTGTTGATTTTCAACATTCAGCAGTCTGGTATACAATTGAACGAAAAACTGTTGCCAAAACCACATTTCTAAAAGAATTAAACTATTCAAAATGATTCGATAAAATCGAAAAGATAAAATTTTAAAAAATTTGATTCGAATTTTGAAAAAAATCGCTTTGAGGTGCACTGCTCTTATCTAGATGCACCTTTTTAACCAAATTTCGTAGCCCTGGGTCTTATTAGCTTATGTGCAGCATGAACAAAAGACACACAGACTTTCTTTTATTACATGTAGAGATTAACATAAGAAAAAATCGTTTTATCAGTTAGTTCTAGTTTAATATTTGGTCACCAAACAAACTGTGTATAACAAGACATCATATGCTCCTTTGCTATATAAGCAGTTTTTCACTTTTTCAGTACTGCTCTGATTTACCTAAAGATTTTATTGCCAGTATCAAATAAGTATCTTTTCCTTTCATATTTGCAACTGGATATACAATTAAAAAAGCTTTGGCCTTTTTATTACTTGATGAGAGATTAGATATAATACATTCAAAGGATACAAATAGCTTGCACTGCTTCTACTGGATGACCCATCTCAATTGTGCCATGTCCTTTACTATTACCCTCTTCATCTCGTTTTAAATCAATTTTCACAACACGACCAGCAAGCTTGAAAACCTCTTCTAATTTCTGGGGTGTAACTTTATAATCTAACTGTTAAAATGAAAAAAGAAATATTAAAAATATAGAATTTTAACCTCTCATACAATATAGAACTGAATGTTTCAACAGAAAATTAGAAAAATAAGAACAAAAAAGTATTAACCATTTAATGTTCATTATTTTAGATATATGCACCAACAATATACTAAGTACATTAGAACATACATAAGTACATTAAAACATACAATATGCAAACGTAACTACTATGAGTATTAAAATCTTATACCTTTTTCTGAGAGTCAACTCCTAAATTAAAGTAGACTCCCGAATATCCGTGCCTGCCGCACAAAAAAAAAAAAAAAAAGTTTTTTTTTTTTTTTTTTCCAAGCATAAAGCAAAGAAAATAAAAATGTTCACAAAACTGTTCGAAACGTTAAATTTGCTAACATCGTGCTTATTTATAGCAAAAATATCCCAGGCTTTCTCGGAACCTTCCCCTCGGCCCCTCTGATGAGTAAGTGATTTCTTACAGCCATTGTTAGTTTAGGCCTAATAGTGTTTGTGAACCAGTCCGAGTTAATTTCTTATCTTTTTATTGTGTTCAGTGCTTGTGCTTTTTAATTTTGTGTTTTTGTTACCCATTTAAAATGTCAGGAAAACGAAAGAAGGTTGTGTTGACGATTGCGCAAAAACTACAATTAATTTCCAAAGTAGCAAACGTGCATGACATTCTAAAGCAAAAACACAAACTAGTGAACATTGCATAAATGTCGGACAGTGTTTCCGCAATGAAAACGCGAAAAACTGTGAAAGTTTCTACCTTTGATGAGCTAGACACGGCATTGACAAAATGGTTAGCTCAAGTTTGAAAAGAAGGTACTCCTGTAAATGGTCCTTATCATTGCGACGAAGGCAAAAACCTCTTTTGAGTTAGGCCTGAAAGTAAATTTTGATGCGTCTTCTGGCTGGTTGATTCGTTTTAACCAGCGACATGGAAATCGAGATATTGGACTTCATGGGGAGAAATTTAGTGGTGACCAAACAAGCAGCCGACTATTTCCACCATGAATTTGAAGAATTTGTTTTAAGAAAAGAGCCATCTTTTAAAGAAATTTACGATGCCGACGAATTGGGACTTTTGTGGAAATGTCTTCCCACTCGCACTTTAGCATTTGAAAATGAAAGTAAAGCGGCGGGTCATAAAAGCAGCAAGCAAAGGATCACTATCATGTCTTGTAGTAACGCTACCGGTGGACATAAACTTGTTGCCATTGGAAAGTCATAAAACCGAGATCTTTCAAAGGCACAAGGATAGAAAATTTGCCTGTTGACTACTTTAACCAAAAAAAAAAAGGATGGATGAACCAAAACATTTTTCAATAATGGTTCAAAAACATGTTTTTCTTCAAGTGCGTAAACATCTTAAATAAAAAAACCTGCCTGAAAAAGCTGTGCTATTGATCGACAACGCACCTTCCCACCCAGCAACAAGCGTGCTAAAGTCTTTTGATGGAAAAATTTTTGCAAAGATTCTAGCCCCAAACATTACTGCGCTAACCCAACCCATGGAACAAGGAGTCATTGCAACAATGAAGAGAACATACAGAACCAAGATGCTAATGACCAAAATTGAAGAAGGTTATGATCTGAAAGAGTTTGGGAAACACTACACAATCTTGGACAGCATCTGCCCACGACAACTCTTGCCGATATGGTGAAAACAGTTCCGTGTGGTGAGAACATCGATGCTGAAAACATTAACTAGTGGTTGGAGTGCGATGTCAAAGAACCTGGCTTCAAATGCTTGGCAGATGACGAAATTATGAAGAAAGCAAGGGGAGAGACAGAGAATGAAGGACAATGAAGAAGTGAAGGCGAAGAAAAGGCCACTGTGCAGATGCGGAAGACTCACGAAGCAGCTTTGCACAAGTCGACGAATTGCTGAGCTATTTGGAACAAGACGACGCGGAGTTGGCCAAGAAACTTATGCTACGAAAAACGCAATCTCGGATCAAAAGAAAATGCTTTCAAAGCAAGAAGTAAACACAAATGACCGATTTCTTCAAAAAGGTGTAGTTTTACAGTTATGCTTTTGTAATTACATAATACATTACAGTATTAAAACAGTAGGTATTAATTTTTCTGAGTATCCTTGATGCCTCTCATAAGTACAAAGCACTTTCCTATTTTCATTAACAAAATGCATTTTAAGTTAGTTTTGAGTGACATACTAAAATATTAAGCGTTAGTTAAACATTTTCTGCTGTTTATTTTACGTTTTATTGTATATATAACGATTTTTCGAAGTTGGAATGACTGTTTTTTCTTTTGCTATACCCTTTTTAGCTTTTTTCGGATTATCCGCGATTTTTATTATCCACGGCGGCCGACTAGGCTGCTTTGTGTAGTCTTTTAGCATCTCGTATAGAGTAATTTACAGTAATGAACATCTCAGCTCGCAATCAAAAACATAAGATACTCATAAATTGGCTGACTATCAATGTACAATAATAAATCATATCCCTCTGACCACTTTTGTTATCTTACACTTAAACCACTCTTTGTTTACCCATCTTTTTGTTTAATACTACCTATGCTTTCTGAGCTGCACATCCGCTTGTTATTTATGTCAAGCACACAGAAAAAAGTTATTTTTCAGTACTTCAACAGTCTTTCGTCACCTGGTATGTACTTCAACAGTCTTTAGCCATTTCCATATTTAGCAGTGTTTAAAATTTATACAACTTGAGCTTAAACAAAATATTTTTCTTTGCATCAAAGTTATAAAATAAAATTTTTACATTAACTAAGTGTTCCACAGAAATAAAAAAAAAAAAAAAAATACTATGATTCTTTGAAATACTTTATAAATCTAAATGGAAACAAAATATACATTAAAAACTGTCATGCTTTTCTACAACTCTGGTAACCAACATGCTAAAGCTAACAACATAGATACTTAAAAGAGAAAAAGGAATGAAACTGTGTTCAATTTTAATATGAAAATGGGGGATGCAATTTTTATGAGAACACGTTAGATGATGCTGAGCACAAATACTTCACTTAACAACTTTATTTCAAGTAGATTAGTTTTAGAAGGATTTCAGATATATGTATATGTTACTCAAATTTCGAAGGCTATATAACATTTTTACCTAGAGTCTCAGGAAAACCTAGAATGAATTCTCTGAATAAAGCATTCATAAGAATCAATACTACAATAAAGAAACACAAGCCTGAATCGGATAACATTATTAAATACTCAAGTACTACAATCAGGAGAAAGGGTAACTGATAAAAAGTAACATAAGGAAAGCTGTTATGCACCAATACATACAGGACTCAAATTCATTACGATACCACACAGAACCTTGAATGCCCAGGAAAACCATGATTTTTTATACTTATGTATTAGCTCAACCATCTTAAAGGAAGCTGCTAAACTTTCACAATGTGCCAAAATCTGGCAGCCATTCCCAAATCAATTTTCCAGTCAAGCAACATTACCATTTTGTATATGTTCTTTTTATTATAGTCCAAGTTCCAATGCTTTTTATAGATGAATCATATGCTTTTGCCCTAAAATAAATTTTAAAACATGTGCTCATGAAATCTGCCAACAATGGAAGAAAGAAGCTGCAGTAAAAGTTCATCAGAAATGCCATATTTTATAGCAAAATCACTGAAGGAGAAAATTGCATGAAATTCTTGAAACAACTGCCACATGACTTCCACAAGAACAAAAGAAATAACAACCACCCTTAACCCATTAAAGAGCTCGCCCCTCCTAACGAAATGCTTTGAAAATGGCTGTGTTGTCAGTTAACAAACCCCTCCAAAAAAAAAAAAAAAAAATTCCCTTTCGTTTTCTGAAATCTCTCTAAGATGGCCCAGCCTAGGGCAGTATGTTTGCTTCCCCCCTTAGTGTGATGGATAAGCCATAAAATTGCCTCCCCGCCAATGAATGGCAAGAAGTACTTGTTGCATTAATTTCATCTCTCCTCTTTTCTTTGTACTTGTAGACTTGTTTCTTTAATATGTGAAGTCCGAATTTTCCGAAATCTTTTTAGAATTTTAGCTTCCGAGCTTGTAAATTTTCAATTATTCGACATGTTTTATTGGGCAGTATTTTAAGAAAGATCATTATTTATTTTGTTACACAACTTTTTTACTATTTACTTATTTATTTTACTTAGTTTTAGTAGGCCAATTTATTTTGGGAAATTATATTTTAATCCTTTCTTTTACCGATTCGAAGTTTTCATCACATTAGAAGTCCATATATATTTACAACGAGAGTACAATATTTATCAGGAATTTTTGGAAAATTTGGCATATGTATTTATATTTTAGCGTTGAATTTTTTCCACGAGTTGATAGTTAACAGTCGAGCTCATCCTCGTAAACACTTGATCTTTTCAGCATGAAATTGGCAAGCAATAATCTTCCCAATGTTTTACGGGATTTTGTAGCAATTTCTGGAATTTTGGCGGTTTTCTAAAAATAGTTTGGTAAGTTTAGCTATTATACAGTTGTTACTAATATGGAATTTAAAACCAAAAATGTATTCCTTCGTTGATTTGAGAGATAGCATTCTGAATTTAAACGGAAGTTTAAATGAATTTGATACAATCTTACCACAGACTAGAAAGAATTATTTCTCTGTGTTGGATGGATTTTTCTCACTTTTCCGCATATTATAGATTAAATGCATAAAGCAGACATGCACAAAAATCCCTTTTTAATTCTTGCAGTTTCAGTTAAATGAATTGTAATATATATATTTTTTTAACTTTCAAAATATTTTTGCTCATATATGCATAAATTTAAAATCGACTTCCACTTACAAATTATATCCAGTATTTAATAACTGAACTACATTGTACTATTTACCTAACTACATTGCAGTACTTAAGGTAACAACTGAAATGACATAGAATATAGGAATAATTATAATCAATTTAAATAAATTTCTATTTTCAATTAAAATTTGCCATTATTGGCATCCCCAAGGTTTTATGTAATAATAGGATTTCCCAAATTCTAGTCCT